TTCCTAAAAATGACAAAACACAAAAGAAATTTCGCCGAAAGGCTTCAAACCATCTTATCGGTTCAAAAAACGCGCAAATGAACGAAAAACCAAGCCTAAAGCTAAAAAACTATCAAATGAAGCCAAGATTGCGTGCCGAAAAGACGAGGATCATATGGAAATGCCCCCCGCTCCTCCTCCGCGCTTTGAGAAAAGCCATGTGGCCGCGGGGAAACGCGGGGTGAAAAAGTGGAAACTAATGGGCCGCGATGTTCAGCCGAGTGTTCCGGGACATCAAATGCAGGGGAAATGATGGGGCAAGAGGGCCAGGGGGGGAGTGCATCAAGCGCGCCAAAAAACCAAACGATTCTAGAGGAGAAAACGTGAAAAAAACGAGAAAAAGTAATAATAAGAAAATCAATAAAAAAACCTGGCCGAAACTGCGAGTATTTTCGGCGCAAAAATCCGAAACCACCCATTTCCCCCGTGCTCCGCGCCATTCCGCAGTACGGATTTCGTCATTTGGCGCGTCGCGTACGGCCACTGTAGCCCCGCGGAATTTGTCAAAAACCCGCTTTTGAAAGCTTTTTTATAGTTTTTCAACCTTTGTAAAAATTGTAAAAGCCGGAAATAGTTTGTAGTTTTGTAGAAATCTTTTCTAGAGCCCGAAAACAGCCGAAAAGAGAGTTAAGAGACCATTTTTGCAGCTTTTGGTCCTCGTAAAGCCAGAATTTTAGCCAATTTCGCCATATAATGCGTTGCTCATAGTTTTTCGTGGCACAGGAGGCCAGGCGGGTTGTAAAACCTTTAAAAACCGAATTTTCCAACTCCGCGGGTGCCTAAAAATTGAGCGGGCCAAAATTAGGGGTGTCCCTCGGGAGGAGAAGCGCAATTACGAAACGAAGGAGGCGAGAGAGAGTGAGAGAGAGAGAGAGAGAGTGTGTGTGTGGCAAACAAAGGAAAAGCCTAGAAGAAGAAGAAGCTCTCTAAAGCGCGCGCCCGGCGAGATGGTGATGAGTATTTTGAAGTCCTCGTCAGTTCTTCGGGAAAGAAAAGGCGGTAGAGGCCCGCCAGAAAAAGGAAGAAGAAGCCGAAGTGGTGGTGTGGTGGTTCAGAGCCAGCGGGGGGGCCGGCTGAAAACTGCGAGAAAAGAAGGAAGGAAGGGGGGCGCTGGCTGCTGACAAAAGGGGGGCCGGGCCCAGGAGGGGGGCGAGAGAGCGAGAGAGCGGGGGAAAGGGGAGAGACCAGACAGGAAGGGGGGCGAGAGAGTGGGGGAAAGTGAGAGGGCCCACGGCCACAGCGATTAATCGCGACAGCCGCAATGCGCCGCGCAACCAGCCACCCAGCCAGCCCCCCGGTTGGGGCGAGAGAGCGGGAGAGAGACAGACAGACAGCCACAGAGACCACTTCCCGCTGGGGCGATTCGATGGGGAACACCCCCCCTTTACGCGATGATAATACGATCACAGGGCGCGTTGCAGAGATCATTTTCGGGGCTTAGCCAGCTGGCGAGCTAGCAGAGACTCTTCGCGACCCGCGGAATCGCTAGACTGGCTGCCAGTTGGGCTAGCGGCCAGCTTGCAGAGACCATTTGGACCCTAGGGGCCTACAGCAGCGATTTTTTGAACACAAATTCTCGCCCGGGGCAAATGGTCTCTGCTAGTTGGCCCAGCAGTATGGTTAACGGCGCCAATGGTTGGCCTGTCGGCCAGTTAAGGTAATGGTAAGCTAGCAGAGGCCACGTGTGAACGAGGCGGCGCGATAGCGGAGGTTCTTTGAGAAATCGAAGCCCAAGGGCAGGTTGGCAGAGACTCTTTGAGGGGTTGGAGGGGAGGAGGGTACGGTTGGTGCGTGACTATCGAAATCCCGATGCCATCACTTTATTTTTTCACCCTATTCGGCGGGAATGCATTTACGGCGCGTAATTGGTTACGGGAATATAGCGAGAATCGTGGAAAAGGTCAAGGAAAGCGAGGGGCAGGCTAGCAGGGAGCATTTCGCTGGGAGGAATCGATGGGCTGGCGGCCAGTTGAGCGAATGGCAAGCTAGCAGGGATCATTTGGCCCTTGCAAGGCGAGCTGGCAGCGATCCTTGGCGCGAAAAACGACCCAAATCAGGAAGCTCGGCAAATGGTCTCTGCTAGTTTGCCCTCGAGCTATTTTTATGGTGGAAATGGGTAGGCTGGCTGCCAGATTAGGCAGTCGGCAGTCTCTACTAGTTTTTTGAGGTTTAAAGGGCCGTTGAAGGAAGAATGGGTGGCCTGGCATGCTAACAGAGACCATTTGCACCCAAAGCCAATATTTTTGGAGCGCCATTCGGGTCCAATAATATCAGAAAAAGGTTATGGCCGTCGGGGGGAGGCCATAAATGGCGTGTTATCACGAATTGAGAGAGGACAGGTGGGGGCTGAAAATGGGTGGCCGACGCAACACACGGCGCATTGCCCCAATCTGGTCTCTCTCTCACTCTCCCTCTCTCTCTCGCCGACCAGATTAAGGGAAATCCCATGGATTTAGGTAGATGGTTCAGATGGAAAATTTAGGCGGGTTTTCAAGGGATCGTGACGGCAATCGATTACGAGAGGAAACTCGCTCAGGCGAGAGTGAGAGAAAGAGAAAGGGATAGAGCGAGAGAGGGAAAGAGAGAAAGCGAGAAAAAGAGAGAGGGAGAGCGAGAGAGAGAGCGAGAGAGAAAGAGAGAGTGAGAGAGAGAGAGAGAGAGCGAGACAGAGAGAGAGAGAGAGAGAGAGAGAGAGAAGGATAGAGAGAGAGGGAGAGAGAGAGAGAGAGAAATTGCTGAAATGGAGAAATTGCTAACAAAATTCTGGTTTTTCCAAATCGCCTACACAACACAATGTAAAAAGGATTTTGAATAGATTGGATGACGACAAGAAATTCGCAAGGCAAGCTAGCAGAGATTCTTTGAGTAACAAGCCAGAATAAGATCGAAAAAAGCAAAAAAATTACCGGATTACCGTAGCCCAGGTAAATCCAATTTTTTTTCTAAGCCACCGTAACCTCCGGAAAATCCCGTGGATTTTTAATAAAATCCGGATAATCCGTGGTGCCAAAAAATTGGCTGAACACCGGCCGGTGAGAGAGGGGGGAGAGAGAGAGAGAGGGAGAGAGAGAGAAGCAGGCGCGCCGTATGCATTTTAGCCAGCGGCTGGCCAACCAGCGCATTGCGCCCCGGCTTTTTCCGGGCAGCCCCTGTCTGCTCCTCTCTCTCTCTCTCTCTCTCTCTCTCTCTCTCTCTCTCTCTCTCTCTCTCTCGCCCTCCTCTAAGGATTATCATTCAAAAATCGGATTACCAGCCGAGCACTGGGCGACTTTACTGGGGCCAAGCCACGCGGGGCAAGCTAGCAGAGACCATTTTGGAAGCGCGAAACGATGAACTGGCGGCCAGTTTACATAATAGCAAGCTAGCACCGGCAATGTGATGCCGTAATCGAATCGACTGCCTGATTCTTGTCAGTTTTTTCGGGAATTTCAACGCGTAATTGCCACCGAAACTTGCGGGCAAGCTGGCAGAGACCATTTGGGAGCTGGGAATCGACGGGCTGTCAGCCAGCTGGGCCGATGGACAGCTAACAGCGGCAGTTTGACATGGGAAACCGGGGTAAAGACGGGGTTTTCCACAGAACTACGGTAACGCCCGGCAAATGGTCTCTGCTAGCCTGCCTTCGCAATTTTCGAGGGTGCCGATCGGTGGGTTGGTAGACAGGTTGGCCGATGGGAGGCTAGCAGGGATTCTTGGCGAAGGTTTAGGGGAAGTTTAAGGCGAAAAGGCTGGTGGGGGGGGGGTCTTGTTCTCTCTCTCTCTCTCTCTCTCTCTCTCTCTCTCTCTCTCTGCCGTCCGGCTCAAAAGTTAATTGGAAACAGCGGGGGGACCCGCCCGCCTCCTCCCCGCAACGGATTCCAATCTGCAAAATGAGAATTTCCGCCAAAAGCATTTTTTTTGGAAATTTGAAAAACGGTATTTTACAGCGATGGATGGTAGACTAACGCTTCGCCGACGAGAGCCCAAAGTCTAGGCATTTTTTGTAGTGAAAACGCAAATTATTCAGCGGCGAAACCCGTGGCCAAGTGGTTAGTGACCTAGCCTGTCAATCTGACGACGGGGTTCGACTCCTCGCCGTGGCCGACTTTTTGCGTTTCGCTCTAAACTTTCAGAATCGGGGCTCTCGGAGCCGGAGAGGTGCCGAAGAAGTTCAACTTTACAGAAAAATAAATTTTATTCGGAATCGGAATTTTTGAGGGTGCCGATCTATGGGTTGGCAGACAGATTGGCCCATGGCAGACTAGCAGGGATTCTTCGCCTTTATTAAAAGGAAGTTTAAGGCAAAAGGGGTTGTGGGAAGGGTCTTGTTCACTGCCTCTCTCTCATTCTCTCTCTCTCTCTCTCTCTCTCTCTCTCTCTCTCTCTCTCTCTCGCTCTGCCGTCCGGCTCAAGAGTGATTGGACACTCTCATTTTTTTTCAAGCTAAACGATCAAAAAATTGCCTAGACCTCCATCGTGACGACCGAAAAGCGGAAATCTACCGTACTCCCGGCCGCGAGAAGCGTTTGCTGCGTCAAATAAAAAGGACCCATTGCGCAGACTGGCTCTACATTGCTCTGGCCAAGAAGCAAAATAAAAAAATCGTGACCGGATTCGTACCCTCGTCAGTATTCTATCAAGCGAGCCGCTTACCACTCGGCCATTCAACTGGTGATTCCATAGTGATGGGAGAGCCTCATAAATTGATGATGCCTTTGATGCTAATTTTTGGCATGTAAATCATCATTTTCCGGAAGTGGTGTATCTCTGTCCACAGGGGTGTTCAGAAAAATCTGACAAGCGCATCGTGATCGCAATGGCCGATTACATAGGGGTAGCCGCGAGCGTTTTCCAAAATTCCACCCTGTCCGGGTGAGGTTCCCTGGTGAGCTCTAGCTGTAGACGATTGAGCTATAGATGATGCTCGAGATGCGTTGATTGAAAAGCGAGGGATTGCAATTTATTTATTGATCACACAGTCAGCGCTCGGCGAGGCCGACAACGATGAAGCCCAACGTGAGTACGATGGATGGCCAGAAGCGAGCGGGCGTCCCGTTCTGAAACTGATTATTACAGACGGGCCAGCATCCGTTATCTGATACGCTTCCTCCTCCCCCCGCTAACGCACCAACAGAATCTGAAATATTCCCGAATCAGCTGGCTCACCTCAGGGCGATCGGGGGTGGTCTTTCCGTTCGGCGACGTGGTGATCATCTTGGGGCTTTCCTCCGTGGCCTCGTCGTTCGGCGACGTGGTGATCATCTTGGGGCTTTCCTCCGTGGCCTCGTCGTTCGGCGACGTGGTGATCATCTTGGGGCTTTCCTCCGTGGTCTCGTCGTTCGGCGACGTGGTGATCATCTTGGGGCTTTCCTCCGTGGCCTCGTCGTTCGGCGACGTGGTGATCATCTTGGGGCTTTCCTCCGTGGCCTCGTCGTTCGGCGACGTGGTGATCATCTTGGGGCTTTCCTCCGTGGCCTCGTCGTTCGGCGACGTGGTGATCATCATGGGGCTCTCCTCCGTGACCACTTTCCGGTCAAGCAGTCTTCGGAGTGAGGGTGTCACTAAAAATATTGCTATTCATCATTATTCATTGTGCTAAAAGGGCTCTATACCGGCAGCGGGGATTTTTTTTCGAAATCGGCGATTTTGAAAGGGATAGTTCAGCCTTGGAGCTTGAGCACACCTTGGGGGACTACCGACGCAGGGTGACCTGCTGGCCTGTGTCGCTGCTCCGAGGATCCCTTTAAAGATCGTCGATATCCACAAAAACCTCCAATTCCGGGAAAAATCCCCGCTGCCGGTAGAGAACCAATCATTTTGCTCGCTAAAAAAGTCGGATGCTGGGGAGTCGGACGCGAAAGATGCTCGCTCTCTCTCTCTCTCATTCTCTTCCCTTACCCGCCGCAACCAGCTGCGGCATCGGCTCCCCGTGGTGCCAGCCGCAATCTGGAAAGGACCATTGCAAAGGATTCATGATTCAAAGGATCTATTAATTTCTTATCCCCAAAATAAATAGGAAATTCCGAAACATCCCCCAAAAAAAAAAAAAACTAACGGCAGCGCCATTGCGCGTTTCGATGTTCGATGTTGACGTAGCAGCCGCTGTCCATGGGCTCCCCCTCCCAGTTCAGCAACGACTCGCAGAAAATGCTCTCCACAGGGCAGGCTAAACAATATATATGGGGGAAATCAAAGCGGTTTTTTTGCAATACAAATAGCTGAAAAATGATTATTTCGGGCTATAAAAACGGTAGTTTGACAAAATCTCGAATGACAAAATCTCGAATGATCAGAATCTCGAATGATCAGAATCTCGAATGATTAGAATCTCGAATGATCAGAATCTCGAATGACAGAATCTCGAATGACAAAATCTCGAATGGTCAAAATCTCGAATGAACAAATCTCGAATGACAGGATTCACACTGTATCCTAATCTAGTTTCGTCTGGCTCGATCCAGCATCGATTTTTTTTGTATTAGATAGAAGCTAGTAGGCTGTGAGTATGCCCTGCCGAGGGATGGCCTTTTTGAACATCATACTTTACAAATGATAATGAAGAACATTAGCGTTAAGTCTAAAAATTTGTTTTTTTTCGACGCAAAGGGCTCAAATTCTTTCAATCTTTATTTTTTAGAGTGTTGCTACAGCTATTGATTGCCAAAACCTCCATAGAAAAACTTTGGGTTCAATTACTAGGCCGTTAGTGGAAATTTTCATCCAAACTGTGTTCTGCTGAATCGAAGTTTTGTTCATTCGAGATTTTGACCATTCGAGATTTTGTCATTCGAGATTCTGTCATTCGAGATTTTGTAAATTCGAGATTCTGATCGTTCGAGATTCTAATTGTCGCACCTATATTCGCGTCGGTGTAGTGTTCAGTGGATTTTGGATGTTATTATAATAGGGTGCGGCTATTATAAGGTATGAAGTTTATTGCGTAGCACGTAAATACACCAAATCCCCTTTAGCTCTTGTCGGGTCCTAAGTGGAACCGGCGGGCCGAGCCAAGGGCGAAGTTGGGGTTGGGGGGATTTGGAAGGAGAGGAAAGAGGCCAAGCGGGCCAGCTTTATACGAGACGGCGGCCTCCCCCAGGGCCTAGCATGGCCGCCCCGGCGAAGTCACCCTTTAGAGGTGTGACACTCCGGGGGGCCACAAAAACAGGCTAACGGTAGTGGGGTTCGTTAGGGGGCAGGCTTGCATTGTTATGAGGTGAGGTGACGGTGAAGCGGATGGGCATTTGGTTGGCGATTAGCATGGGAACAAACTAGCAGAAGCAGATGGGCAAATACCAAGTAATAGGGGGTGGGCAATGAGCTGAGGTGGAGCAAATCAAAAGCTGGTTAGTCTGGAAGCAAAAAGGAATTCGAAAAATTACAAAATTTAGGGGTAACACGACCAGGTGGGGGAAAAAAACGGAGGTGCCGTAAAAAACCCCACGAGTATCGGCTTTACTTTTCGGCTAGTAGGCGAGCAATAATTTTTGGCGATCGGCTCTGAGCTGCGATTTTCATCGGCGTGCGTGGACGGCCAACGGCTTGTGGTTGAGTCGGGTCTTCGGGTTCGTGGCAAGATTCTTCGGCAACGATCGGGCCGGTTGTTAGGAAGGCGTGGGCGGTGGGGACGGTGGCATTGTCGCTTTCAGAATCTGTCGTAATCGATTCGTTCTCGGCACTCGAATCTTCCCCTGGGTCCTCTGAAGATACTTCTTCAGAGCACGGATCTTCCTGTCCGGCGGCGCCGACAGAGAGGTGGTTGCGATCATTCCTTCCCCTGCGGTTCCTTCCGGGTCGACGCCTCGGCACGGGCGAGGCCTTCTTTAGGTCTAATGGGCAAATCGCAAAATGGTGTCTGTGAATTTGGCATTTACAGGGCCGAGCGTTGCATTGATGTGCTTCCCCTGCGACGAAGCTTCTAAGGCATCGGAAACAACGTTTCTCGTCGATGAGAATTTGCGTCTGTCTCCGACGCTTCTGACGCGCTGACAATCGTCGCTCCTATGGCCGTCGACTTTGCAAAAAACACAGTAGGGCTGTTTTCGGCTGGCCGACGGGCTTCTGGATGGATATTTGCTGGTAACAGGAGCTTTACTGAGATGAGAATCGCGTTCGCGTAAGCGGTGTTCCATAGTGCGGTCTGGGGCGTGAGAGGAGCTGAGGGTCGTATCTTCGATAGTAGCGTTTTTTCCGGTGACAAGATTCAGACGTTCCATTTCCGTGACGGATTTTTGAAGTTGTTCCATGAAGGCTTTGTTGTCCCAGTCGTCGTGCGTAATCTCGGCACGGCGGACTTTCTTCTGGATGTCTTTAGGGAATTTCTGAAGTACATCCTGTCGTGTGAGGGGATCGATTTCGATTTCTTCTTTCAACAGCTGCTTGTAAATTGCGTTCACTCGGTCGTGCACCACACTAGCTTCTTCGGCATTGTGCGCTTTGGGCGTGTTGCGCAGCTTCTGAAGTAGGCAGAGCTGTTGCGTAGCTGCTTTAGCGTATTTATCTTCAAGCAGCGTGAGGGCTAGTGCGTAGTTTTCGGCAGAGAGCGTCACAGATTTCAGTACGCTCTCGGCACGTCCTTTCAAGCAGCTCAATAAATATGTGAACTTGTCCAAGTCGTTGAGATGCTGATTGTTGCCGACAAGTTGTTTGAAAATTTGTAGCCATGCAGGATATTCGTCCGGTTCGCCCGAGAAGATGGGGAGGGTGATTTCGGGGTAGTCTAGGGGTGTTTTGGGCCATCACGACGGGCTGTACGACGATGCGGTCTTCCGGGAGATTCTCATTGTTACCGCCTTGTCTGTGGTTCTGTCGGTTAACGGCTCGGGCTAGTTGCTGAACACTCATGAAAGTCGTGATCGCTGTCTGGGTCATATTTACTGCTCTGGTGAGCCAGTTGAGGCAGCTGCTCGCTTTGTCGTATTCGGTGTCAAGGTTATGTCTCTGGATCCAGTCCGCGAGACCATATTCTCCGTTGACGTCTTCAGCTTCAAAAGTGTCGAGCTCGCTTCGCTCCCATTCATATGTGGCGATCGCATCGCATAGATTTTTTCGGTGGCTTGCAAGTTGTTGTGATTTATCCAGCACTGTTTGGGCGACTTCTTCCGATTCGATTAACGCTTGCGTCCATTCGGTGCCGTCCGTAATTTCAAAGGCCTGCACTGCCGTTTTGCGCATTTCCGTCAGATCGCGGATGGCTCTTGTCAGGGCGATCTTTGTGGAGGCTAGGAGCGGGGGCGCGTAGCCGTCGGCGTTTGGAATTCCTGTCCGAGCACCATCAGATTGATTGATTGCGTGATGATGCGGAGGAGGGGTAGTTGAGAGCGCAATGCGGTTATAGTTGTTAGTCGGAGTCAAAGTGTGAGTAGTGCAAATGTGCGGCACGAAACGGGAAGACGTGAATGCACAAACGCCAAAGGTGGGTGAGGTTGTCGTGTGGTGCTGGACCAACAGTACCCCGCCCGCTTCGTCGACTAGGCCTTTTAGTTAGAGAAGGTTTTGTTAAATTTAGAGGGTAAAGGTTGTAATTTGGTATGGCCTAGTAAACTGAATTGGGTCAACCCAAATTGAATGACCCCGTTTGAACTCACGTAAACCGCTTGCTGCTCAAATATAGCTTGAAGATGGCTTGGCGACTGGGTTACGGTAGTCGGATGTTGTTGACGATTTTGGTTGTAAATGAGATGTGGGCCTGGTGCCGGGGGGCAGCTCCGAATAAGGGCCCACTTGCGGAGGGATACGGTAATAAGGGGCTTTGTCCCTGGGCCGGTTGACAGGGCGTAAGCGATCCCAAGGGGGGGATTGATGGCAGCGCTGGCGTGGGTCCGCCGGCTGACCCCAGATGGTGCAATCTGGTGTCGAATCCCTCGAGATTCCGATTTAAGTAGTGAATAGCGAATTTGCGAAATCACGAAAAGTACTGTAGAGTACAGAAAGGGCAAATTTGGAGTGGTTTAATATCGAGATGATTAGAAAGGAAGTTCAATATTCGAATAGAGTCGTATGAAAATTTGCAAAGGGGGTAATATCGTAGAGGTAGGAATATGGGAATTGATAGTTTTTAGTCTGAAATTTTAGAGGTAGGTTCAGGAATATAAATACAGGAATTTATTGAATATAAGAATATAGGTAGGAATAAGTAGGAATATGTAGGAATATGGTAGCTGGGCCGGGTTTGGTTAGGCCGATGCACCAATGTCGCACCTATATTCGCGTCGGTGTAGTGTTCAGTGGATTTTGGATGTTATTATAATAGGGTGCGGCTATTATAAGGTATGAAGTTTATTGCGTAGCACGTAAATACACCACATCCCCTTTAGCTCTTGTCGGGTCCTAAGTGGAACCGGCGGGCCGAGCCAAGGGCGAAGTTGGGGTTGGGGGGGATTTGGAAGGAGAGGAAAGAGGCCAAGCGGGCCAGCTTTATACGAGACGGCGGCCTCCCCCAGGGCCTAGCATGGCCG